TAGGCATGTGTCAAAATGCAACTGGACAGACAGACAATTTAATGTTTACAATATGCAATCAAAATGCTAAATAGGGACTCTCTGTTTGTGTACATCTTTGCTTTAATGGAAAGTTGAAGTAAAAAGTTCCCATACTTTCATATAAACTACAGTATTACCCTGTCAAACCCTACAGTGCCTCGGGACTAGGATTGCTTTCTGACCAACAGAGACAACTTTTACTCCATCAACAGCACCAGCAATTTCAGCAATTACTAAGTACCCAGCAACTCACATCAGTAAGTTTTCCAGTTAATCATGATTTATTGCTCTGTTGTATTCTAAGGCATGGAAAAACTCCTCAGCCTAACAGACATACTAGAAATGTGTTTAACTTGATATTAAAGGCTTTGATAATATTTTAGTTTTTCAGTTGCTTCAACCTTTTTGATGATAGTCATGTTAAATGACAGGATGTTATTGGGCTGTGTGTATGGCTAGAAGAATCATTTGCTAGTGCCTTCAGTTTCATTTTGTCCTATGTGGACATGGAGGCTTGTCTCAGCATCAGCTGTGGGTAGCAGAGTTTGGGAACATGTATGGATTCTTAACAATATCCTGGGAACTATTCTCTGATTCCACTAGAACACTAGCAAAAGATTTTTGGATATCATTTCGTGAGCTGTCTTTGCTCTGTTTGCAGTATTCATATAGGCCAGTAGGTAACTGGTTTGACTATTTGTATTGTTAATTGTGTAGTTTTAGCACATGGTATGTTTGTTCTGACAGGCCTGATGAAGCCAGCAGGCTTAGCTGAGCTTCTGCTGAGCTACTGATTTCAGGAAATCTTAGAGGATTCTTCCCTTTCCCCCAGTCTCATGGAACTTCATTAGTGTAACCTAAATTAGCTGGGATTAGGTTAAGGGTTGCCCTGACTGAAGATCTGGATAAGCAGAAACCCAGGGAGGAGCTATTTTTCAGTAATTAATTATTGATTTTTTTTTTCCTTCCTCCTCCCTCTCCTCATATTACTCAAGGAACATCAGGCCCTTTTGTATCAATTAGTACAGCAGCAACATCACCATCACCATCACCAACACCATCAATCTGAAGTACAGCAATTGCAGATTACTGGAGGAGCACAGATACCCATAAACAACTTACTCTCAGGCACACAGGCCTCACCACTTAATGCAGCTGCTACCAACCCATTCCTTACAATTCATGGAGATAACGCAGCTCAGAAGGTGACAGTAAGTATCCTTCTCACCTCACTTTCAATGCAGTACCTCCAGGAGGTAACCAAAAGAAGCAGGTTATGTGCCTGTTTTCACAAACCAGGGATGGTGGATTTTTTTCTTCATTTATTTTTTCTTGAGCCATGGGCTGCACTTAATGAGGCTCAGAACTCTGTGAACTTGTAGTCACTCCGAACCTGTCTGCTGCACACTCTTGCTTCCCTGGATCAAGACACCAATCCACTGACCCTCGCCTTCCCCTTGTAGTTACAACTGCAGCCCTAGTCCTCCTCACCCCACTTCTTCCCCAGTTTGTCCACTGTTTTGTGGATCATTCCTTTTATCCCCTTACTTGGCGAGTTTGCTAAGTTTATCCCCTTACTGGCCAGGCCTCAGGCACTGTGGAGCTGCAGAGATTAGGTGATGACTTGAGAGTTGAGGAGCCCTTAGCTGGGAAGGTGGAATGTGTGTTAGGAGAATGGGCCGTGTGCATCTTGGCTCTGGCCTGGGAAAATGAGGCTGTACACTGGGAAGCTGAGCGGCTCTTTTCCTTGATAGAGTAATAAAGCCTTTCCTAGACAGAAGAAGAAACAAGACACATTCTTTTCTGGCGAAGATATTCCATTATCTTGAGTATTTGCCCATAATCTCCATCCCCAGGATGGGAATTCTTTCTTCAAGAAGTCAGAAAATAGAATTCATTCTCTAAGGATCATACAATTAAGATAAGAGAGGATGAAGGGAACTTGGAAAAACAAAGGATGTATAGATGAATAGAGCAGGAAGACATAAAGTTCCAGTATTCCTTGGAGAAGACATCAAGTGGCAGTGGTAGAGTTAAAAAGGGAGCTTGTATGCAAAAGCATATAGGGAGAGTTTGGGCTACATACCAGTCCCCTCTCTGCTCCCCACTCCCAAAGCCTCCAGCTACTTCAGGAGCACTGCAGTGGAGGACTCAGTCTGGGCTTCTTTGGTACTTCCCAAGTAGTAGGTGAGACACAAAACATAAATGTTAAATTTTCAAGACAATTTTTCCTATAAACAGCTCCCTTCCACTCAGCTATGTGAGCATTTATTTTATTGGGCTTTGAGCAGTGTCCCTGTCACGTTTGGTTTGGTTTGGTTGTGGTGCTGCAGCTGAACCGCGAACGGCAGCGCCGTGGTCGGGTCCCTTCTCCCAGTCACTGCCAGAGCAAGAGTGCTCTGTCACAGGGGTGGCTCCACGCCTGGCCTTCATTTAGAAGTGTTCACAGTTTGCTCTGGCATGTTTAAAATTTATCTCCCCTCATTTTCCAAAACTTAGCAGTGAATGGAATTGAGACCCTCTATTTGGTTTGCATCCAAACAAACTATTCCATGTGACTTTATTTTGAATCTTTTTGACATGGCCATTACTGGGTCTGTACAATGTGGCATATTTTTACAAATATGCTATTACAGTTGTAGTTTATGTTTCTGTAGCAGTGAGCTGTACATAATTCCAACAATTCAAACAAAAACCTTAGAAACAAATTTCTTTTGAAATAGCTTATATATTTTTTTAAGGTTAGAGTTGAGGCAGGTTGCATTGGATTGTTGAACTGTTTTTTAACAAATTCTCTATTTGCCAAAGTTTGAATGTTTTAATCTCATTTGCAGTTGGAACTGGTTTTCAGGTATTTCTGAATGCTCAGTGAGTGAGATGAGGTTTTTGCTTGGTCCTGTTCAATACCTGCAGGAAATGTCTTTGCAGTAATATATGGAAGAAAGGTAACTGTGACAGGGCAAGACAGAAATTGTATTTCTGTTCTGATGGGGAAGTGTAGATTTCAGGCCTCTAGGTGGGCAAAATGCAGTAGAGGTCACCTGGTATTTGCCTGGACCATCTTGTGGTTCTGCAGAGACCCACGGCCAGAACAGCCAGTCTCGTGAGAATGAAAGTAGAAGCAAAATTGATGTTTTCTAATGCTGGCTGTGGTGACCTTAGCATTCTTTGCTTCAGTGCAGGACTACTCCTTTAATTATTCTTTCCTTTCCTATTTGTTATTCTGTAGTACATGTTTATTCTTTACAAATGCAAAAGTTACTGTGTATATGGCTGTAGTGAATGAACCTCATCTGTTTTGTCACTTTTATGAATTTAATTTTATTCAGCTCTGTATGTTATAATCTGATTTGTAGAAGTATTTTCTCTTACACAGAGGCTCAATGATAAAACTGGACCAGTTGCGTCAGAGAAGAGTTGACATTTGAATGACACTTGAGACCTGCACGTCCTGCTGTTATAGCACTTCATCCGGCTGCAAACCACGCCTGTCCTTTCTGTAGACTGAAAAAATGCAACAAGGAACTCTTACTGCACAGCAAGAGGTTAATAATTTTTGTACGGATATTTTTGGTAGGCTTTCACTTGCTTTCTTGTTGCACTAAAATGGATGTAACTTTTTAATGTTTCAGACTGTGAAGTAGATAAAACTCTGCCAATCATAATTATTTTGTCAATATTGATGGTACTAAGTACGAATTCAACCACAGAAGAACATATACTTGACTCTTCAGTCCTAATCTTACGAATTTAAAGGCTACAAACTGTCTGCAGTCACGCATTGCTTTGGTTTCAGAGCAGTAATTTAACAGCCCCAGCCCATCTGATCTGCTGCTGCGGTTGCAATAGATCCTTTTAGACTGAGCTTCTAATGGCAGCCGGGACTTGCTATTTGTCCTTTCTTTTTTACACACCTGTTTTGAAACCTGACTCATAAGGGAATTGACTTTGAACTTTTTACTCCTTTAAATTCCTATTGTTATATAGTGGGAGTTTTTCTTGAGTATGTTACAGTATGGAATCCAAAGTTTAATAATTTTGGTGTAGGTTTTAGAGTTCTGAGGTTTTTAAAGGAACCAGTTTGGTTCCAGTGACAAAGTTTTCTTACCAGATGAGAAGGCCACACGGGAAGAAGTTCGTGTAGTGTTTGGCCTAAACCAAGTGCCTGTTGCTACCTCCACTTTGTTGAAATGGCTGCAAACAGCTGATCATGCACTAGATGTGTCCTTGTTAGCAGCGGGAATACTCTGTCTTGCACCAGCAGCCGTGTTCTGCCTTTCCTAGAGGTGTTTATACCACTGTAGAGAGCTCAGGCAGATTGTTACCTGGGTCGCTTTCACTAATAAATTACCAAAAAAGTGAGTTAATATTTCCCACTAAAATTTACCAGTGGTTGAAACGGGTGAACTTGCATTACAACACTTCTGGCAGTTGCTGATTTCATGGCGTGAGTCTATGCAGTGAAGGACAGTTCAAATGGGGGTAATGACCACTAATCAATATAAAGGTGGGAATTATTAGAGGAAAAGACCCAGCTGTAATTAGACCTCCACTGTGTACTTATTTGGAAGAACATGTTAATTCTGCAATATGTTTCTTAGTTAAACATTGCACAGTTCTTACCTCATTTCTGTAAATAAAGTTTTGTGAATCTGTTTTGTATTGTGAAGAATTCATAAGAAAACATTGATATTTTGATTTGTAATATTTCTAATTAGTAGATTTAATTGAAAAAGTAAAAATAATTTATTTTTATATGTTCTGGGGAATTTTTTAAAAATGTCACAAATCACTTTTGTAGATACTTTACAAAAGTAAACCAGTGGTTTATTTTACTTACTCGCCCCACTGGTGGATATTCTGTAACAATTTGTACAAAAGGTAAGATGGAAATGTGCTGTTATTTTGACTAGATGTAAAATTCCAAGTGTATGAAAAGATACGTACAAAGCTTTTGTTAATAAACTTTAATAATGTTTATCATTGCATGTGGTTTGCGTGAATGTGAATCTTGTAGAAGAACAGAGTGTTTCTATTAACATCACAAGAAAGGAAGGATTTCAATTGCACGTGGCCACTAAATTTTATTACAACAAGTTTTTAAAAATGTTGCTCATGTAAATTTTTGCTTTCAAGAGACACTGATGCAGCTGCAAAACTGTCCAGGGATGGTTCTGCTTACAGAACAGAAATGCCCAGTTGCAGCCCTGGGTCTGATGTCAGTTTTTTGCTTCCACCCTTCAAAGAGAAATGACTGGAATTGCAGTGGCTCTTGTCCAATGGGCCCAGTTTGTTTTGAAGTGACTCAGTGAGAGCTCTGTGGGGATGGGATGGGTTCTTTATCTGCACTGTGCTGGGGCTCAGGTGATGGAGGCCAAGGTTGTTGCTGTAACCTTTGCACTGTACTTTCTATAAAAGCAGCTCAGTGGTTTTTTCCATGAATTTTGCTTACTGTCCACAGAAGGGACACCTGGTCTTTTATTTCCCTGGCAGCAAAGAGAATTTGACCCTTCCCATACTGTCATTTGAAAATAAAACGTGAGGCTGGTTGCAGTCCAGGTTTTGGCAGACAAGAGATGCATTATGGCTTCCTCACAATTTTTAGCCCCTTGCTAATGAGGGGGAGCCTCAGGCTGAGAGCAGCTTCTGGGACAAGGAGCAGGAAGATGGTGTTGCCATAGGCCTGTGCTATTTGTATGTTGTTCCATCTGCTCAAGTTCTGAGTACTGAATATTTTCATTTTCCAATGGGGAAAACCAGAGTCCTGAAAGAAGACTGGTAAATGGGCAAGCTCAGCAGTAGCAGGAGGGGAATGTGAAACACTGTTTGGCATGGTGAAGGGGGAATGTACTACTCCCCTCCCCACCCCAACCTTCTTAATGGTGCCTTGGCCATCAGGGCTAGAAAAAATTCCCTCTGTTCTGGGGGTACTTGATGACTGGTTTATGCTCTGAGGTGAAGAGGTTTGGAAGACTTAACCATTTCTACTGATTAACCTGTGCACGGTGTAGATGAGCTCTAGACCTGGGTCTATATTCTGTCAGTATTCTGGCTCTGTTGAGCACTGACTGTTGGCCAGTGCTGAGCAGGGAGACCACGGAGCACCTGTAGGCCGGGCCCTGGAGTTATACTTGGCACTGCCAGACATGGAGAGGAAGGGGAAGAAAAGCCCTGTACGACCCTGCTGCCAGCACAAGGCCACCAGGGAATCCTGGGTGTCCCTTCTGCTGGATGCAGGGACTGCTGCTTTATTCTTGGATATAAGCCAAAGCCAAAAAGTTTTTATGTTAGACGAGTATCAGTAAATTGCCCTGCTCCTGTTGGAACAATACGATAGAAACCAGTAAAAGTGATAAGTCCTGCCTTTCCATGTGTGTTTCTTGTATTGGAGAGGGAGTGCCTAAACTCTGGGACCTGTCTTCTGCCAAGATGTAGAGAAATACGAAGAGACAAAGTTAGAAATACCGGTGAAGTTGTCAGAAGAGATTGGTGCCAGCAGCCCAGGATAGCAGTGGCTGTTTCACAGTACCATGGTCCTGGTGGACCAACAGGCAACAGCAAGGAAATGAAAAGGACAGTTCTGACATCCAAACAAAAATCCAGTTCAGCAGCCCTTTAAAGAAAGAGCACATCAAAGCCAAGTTCACATGAGGGCCAGATGTAGTCAAAACCAACCTTGTTTCAATGATTTTGCAGATCCTGACATCAAAGATGATGGTCTGTGGCTGATTTGGCACCAGTTCAGTAAAGCCGATACTGCTGTCCCTGTGGGATGCCTTGGATGCCAGAGCAGCCCAAGCCACTCCACAGGTCCCTGGCAGCCAAGTTGCCTGATTACTGAGCTCCCCTCACATGTGTTGGGAGCTGCTCTGGGCTCAGTCTCATAAGCAGCACAGACTAAATGCCCTGCATTTCAGAAGGTTTTTCACCAAAATCCCACTTTACTGACAGCAATGATAATATCCCTTACGGCTTAGAGAAGCCAACTAATTCTGGACAGCCTTTGACATATTAAATCCTGGTTTTATCAACTTTATCCATTCAAGCTGTTTTAGCAGGAGCTACTCTTTCAGCAACAGCACTTTAGACATGAACTGACCGACTTTCTGGTGCCTGTTTTTCATACACTGCACTAAAATCTTGCTGTTGGTTCTGCCTAAAGGAGAGCTCAAGTCACGCAGTGTTCCTGTTGTTTTCAGACCCCATCATCTCACAGAGAAGTCACATTGCAAAATTTTTCTGAAACATCTTTTTTTTTTTAAATTAGTTCATATACTTACATATACTTAGAGCTGTAAAGTTGAATGTAATGTAGTCCAAACATTTAGGTTTGCAAGAAGACACTGCAGAACAGCATCTGTTGGTCTTTCCTCTAGAGCTAAACAGCCTAAATGAGAGCACTGTTAACCTTCACAGCATCTCACTCATGTTCTACTCATTCACTTGTGTATGGTTGATGGGCTGTAATTTTACAAAATTCTGATGCTTTAGCCTGGCATTGGACTGTATCCTCAGCACAGGAATATTGCCCTCCCTGGGTCATGTGCACCAAATACCCCTTTCCACAGCATTCTGCCTGTCCCATCAAGAGGGACATGCAAAGACACTCAAAAGTAGGCTCAGATCTGACTTAGAGAACAGAAGCTACAGCACAGACTGTCTCTGAGACTGAACACAAAGTTTCAGTGTAAAAAGCACCATCAAGCTACAGCTCCCAACTGCCCAGGAAAGAAAACGTATTTTGTTTGAAGGCAAATATTAACATTACTTAAGGAAATCTGCATTTTGTGCTAGAACAAAAGTTGGAAGAAGTTGCTTAACTCCCAAGCCTTGAGTCACCTTGGTTTCCATGGATAGAAACAAGCCCTGGCTACAGTTTTCTTCTTCTCTAGTGAGCATCATGTCTGACCTCAGTCACCACAGACTAGAGCCACTGCTGTTAGGGCCAGGTGTTTCATCATCCAGAAAACATGTGGCACCCTCAGGAGAGGCTCTTGAGAGGCCCTCAAAGTCTTGGAGTCTCAGCCATGCCACCTTCCTCCCCCCACCAAACACCAAAGCTGAAGCTAAGGCTGGGCCAGCTCCTTTGGCCCTTGAGGAACTGAACATGACAATAAGACTGGATGGGCCCTGGATGAAGCTGCCAGTACCTCATTCCGTGTTCTGCCTCCCAGCTGGATATCTCTGGGCATCTGGTGGCAGAGATCAGATCCACTGATGCAGGACACTGACTCACATTCCCCATCCCAAGACCTTCAGTTCCAAATGACCCAGCAGTGCTATGCAAAACCTTCCCGGTTCTTGATGCTGAGTTGCCCCTGTCACCAATTCCCGGAGCAGTGCCACTGCAGAAAAGGCCAATGCATTTCTCTGACACAGCCAACTTCCCTCTACTTTCAGGCAGGTTGTTACTTCAAGCAATAAGGATGCAATCCATCAACTCCCTTCTCTCCAGGCAAGAGGAGACATCCAGCACTTCAGGTGCTCAAACTGGCAAGTGTGACAGAAGGGCATGTACAATCTTTGCCCATCCTTAAAAATCTTCCTTCGAGTAAACTGGATTTGTCAGGAGTACTGCTTTAGGTTTCTCAATGTGAATTTCTTAAACTCAAAAAAATTCTTAGCAGTCAGCAGTTCTTGTCCTTCTTCTTCCTTAGACCCCCATGCAGAAAGTGTGGGGTGGAGAGAAGCTGAATGTGTTGGGCAGGCAGTGTGTAACCACTGCCCCATACACAGCAGGGATATGGGCAGGTCTGGAGCAGGTACTCAGGTAAGTCTTTGATATCTTTATTGCTGGAAATCCAAAGTCCTCCCAAGTCCTTATTGCATTTGCCACTGGATTTTTTTTGCCTCAACACCTAACTAAGCTAATTCTCACTCCAAACGGAGTCAGCCCATTATTATTCTTCAGAGCCACCACAGACATGTAACAGGGAAACACAGAGATCACACAAATGCAAAGTTCCCTTTTACATACTTGGAAGATTCTCTCTAGTGTAGAGCAAATAGCAAGAATTCCTTCTGTCCTTCCCACCAAGTCAGGCATTGCAGACACTGGATCATTCCCTCTGCTCCCTTCTGGATGCTCTGCATCTTCCTTGAAGTGTGATGTACTGAACCGGGCACACCATTCCAGGCAAAGTCTTGTAAATCCAGAGTGGAAAGGAAAGATGACTCTTTTCTCACAGGCCAAACTCTCCTGTTATTTGCTTGCTTCTTTTTTTGAAAAAGCAGAAATGTTCCCATTACCAGTCTGTATTTTCATGAACAATATATCTCCACTTGCTAGTGTTCTTCTACCCCAGCTCCACCCATTAATTTTCATGAATTCCCCTTGCCATTTTAGTAACTTTTCTTTGTAGCCACTTCAATGACCTTTTTTTATAGCTACAATCATCTCTCTTTGAGTGTTCTGGATGACTAACAGCTTTTTCAATTTAAGATTTCCTGATACCTCTTGAAAATACCTCACTTATCTCACTTAAATTCTTCCTTCACAGGTAATTACTGTTTGACCAATTAGCACCCCAGCTCAAAGTTCAGCTTCTAACTATGTTTTAATTTCCAGTGCAGTTAACCTGTGACGTTCTCTGTGAAATAAAATTTAGATGCATTACTTTGTACCTAGCTAAGTTTCCATAATATCATTTCTACCACCTAAGGTTATTTTTTTACATATGATTAAAAGTTCCAATTGGTAAAGGAATGCATATGGAACATTGTTATATTCTCTAAATACTTCACCCTTAAAGTTTTATGGGAATGGGATGAAATGTTGTGAAATGCTATCTGTCAGAAGCAGCACAGTTGGCAAACAGTTACTGGGGAAATCAGCAGTGGAAATGGCAGAAAGTTAATGGAGACTTTCAGACACCAAGTTTAGATTTTGAGTTCAAATACATGATCCTCTGAGTTTTCATTTTGATTTTGAATTAAAGCTCAAAACCCTTTTAGAATCCTGGTATTAAATCAGAATTTGAGTGGTAAATACTGCTTTAAAAAATGTCCTTAATGTTTCTTGTTATAGACTGTGATCACTGCTCTGATTGATTGCTGTTATTTAGAGCCCATTAAGTTATTATTCCAGCATTTTAAGCTTTTCATAATTTTGGAAAAGTTATACAAAACAACATAACAAGAATGGAATAATAACCATTACTACCTATTCCTCAAATATAAAATCCAACCATATTGAATGCAGGGTATACAACCACTCCCCAAATATGAGAACTCTTAGCCCAATAATATTTGCCCTTCTGTACTTAAAAAGTGATCCTGAAGTGTCTTATATCTCTTAATTTCTAGTTACAAAATTTAGACCTTTAGTGTTTTCACCCATTTCAACTTTGCCCAGTTAACAATGCAATCAAACATCACTATGTATCACTGCAGGGCTGGCAAAAAAGGTACTATATTGCAGGTATATATAAATGTACGTGGAAGTTAAGATTAGAAATACTACTCACTTCAAAATATGACCAGATAAGAATAAGATATTTATGGTCATGGCTTTAGAGCTGCAAGAAAGAAAAATATATTTTGAGTGCAGAGTTTCATTACTCTCAAGCTTGCTTAACAGTTTCATGTCAATTCTCTCTTTCCAAACAAACATAAATTATTTATATGCTAAACATCCAGCGGCTGTAAACCTACCAGTTTCAGTGTGTGATTGTCAGAGGGGGTTTTCCTACAGGTCCACTCATTTTTAAGACGTTATCACACATCTGCATAAGCAGCTCTTCGATACAAACACACCTTCATTCTTCAACACACAAAACAGGTAAGATGGTATAAGATTTATTAATATTTTCTTTTACTAAGGCACATGACGTATAGAAATACTGAGGTACAAAAATGCAGTTTCCTGCATATGACATTTAAAACTTTGACAAAGATGAGCTACATCTCTTCTGCTCACCACATTCAGCTTTTAGCCATTCTTTTCTTTTGTACCAGCTCAACAAGCAACTTGTATCTTGCTATACACTCCTCCTGAAAGAAAACACAAAAGTGTTAGTCAAAGGGTGACATTTTAGTATTGGGGTTTTTTTGTCTCGTTTTGGTGTTTGTTGTTTTTTTTTTTTTTTTTTTTGTCGTTGTTGGTTGAGTTTTGTTTTAAAGTTGCACACTGAATTTCAGGAGGAGGATCTACATCTAGTGAAGAGCAGATCAGAAAAATGAACTTGGCAGTTTATGTTTCTTAATGGATAACTTATCTGTTTGAAGAGCACACAAAGCCAAGAAACAGTTGCCTCGTACTTCCCAACAATGACTGCAAGGAGCAATTATTAAACAGTTGTATTGTAATATCTGTTTAAAACAGTTCTCTGGTATAAGCCACGCTGCAAATGGGTTAAAACAAACCTTCGAGGTCACTAACACAGCACCTACTGACACCAGATACCACAGAACAGCTTCAGAGCCAGAGAAACACACAAATCCCTCCCCACCATGTTTCCTGCTCTCTCACACTGTGTTTGGCACGAATAAAACAAGGATTTTCTGCAGCTACAATGACTGAAGCAAGCAAAGCTATCACAACTATTAAGAAATCTAGCACAGACCAACTATATCAATGACAATGCTATGTTTAAAAGATTATACTTACAAAAAGAACATTAGATATATTATTGAATATTTAACACTTGCAGATGGATTATTTCTTTTGTTTGCTCACTGAGATGGGTTGAAAAAGGTATTGTGAAAGTGTAAGCAAAGCAGCTCACCAACATTTGGTTACTAACTTTGAATCAAAATTTGGTTTCAAATCTAATTTATCCTGCAAAGGCAGAGGAGAGGTAGGTATTTTAAATGAAACAGGAGTTATCTCAACATTTTCTGTAATAGATCAAACAAACTGAAATAAATGAGAAAATATTTTAAATAAAGCAACAAACATGACAGTAACGCTGCTTAGGTTGCCTACAACTGGACTGATGGGCTAAGTAAAGGCCTCACCTTTCTGCATGGACCCTCAAGGTAATCATAAACTGGTAGAAAATATGTTTCTCCTCAATTTATACTGTAGTTCCAACAAAACTAGGCATACCTTGCTTTTTCCAGGAACACATTTTGCTATTTTATCCCAGCGATCTGATGTTCCCTTTGGATACTGCTGCAAGGCCATTTCAAGAAGTTTCTGTTGGTTTTGAGTCCACAGTTCTTCTGGGGCACAGCTTTTCTCTCTTCTTCTGATCTCATCATCACTCTCCTCCTCTTGGTCAGTGTTATCAAAATCTCTCTGCCGTCTCCCTCTGCCCTTCTCTTCCAGTGCCAGCAGAGCCACTTCAGGTGCTTTGACAATTCTGCGTTTGCGGTGTCTGGTTTCACTTCCAATGGTCTCCTTTGGATCTGTCTGGACATCCATCTGCTCTCGTATATGATAGTAGTTTCCCTCCTCCTCCTCTTCCTCCTCTCTTTCTCGCTGGGTGATTATGTGATCTGGCAAATTCACGTTGACTTTGACATTTTTGGAATGGGCCAGCGTTTTTAGCTCGGAGAGCCTAATGGTACCTGTTAGAAGTACTGCTGTTACACTTCTGAGACACTGAAACACCCCACCAAGCAAGCAGGGAACTGCCCACAAATTAAAGGTACATGGAATAGGGCAGAGTAGAGAAAAAGCTCTTCTGGACTGAGAGCTTAGAGAAAATGCTTATTGAGAAATTAAGGTGGTGAAGCAATGAACTTTGCCAACTGGGAGCTTATCTGATATATGGGAAGTGCTACTAAATTCCCACACTGATATAAACAAAACAGAACAGCCTGAACAAGAGAACAAAACCCACAATAAACCAAGTAAGAAGGTCTGGGAGGATGTAACTAAAGGGAAGTGTTCCCTCAGAATACCCATCAGTTCTTCTCTTCGCTCAAAATAAGGCAAGGTTGCAGAAGTCTCTCTGCAAAGCCGACCCTGAAAAACACAGCTATTGCCCAAATACAGTGATTTTCATAAGCATTAGTGAGGATCTAACAGCACACACCTGGTGTATATGTAACAGAATCCTTCAGTTGTTTGGCTTTCATGGTAACCTGCAAGAAAACAACAAAAATAAAGGACTATTAAAAAAATTACAGTAGAGGGGCTATTGAAGAATTCATTATCAGCTTACTGCAAAATACTGCATTGAAGATACATTAAATACAGTGAGGATGATGTCCTTTGGCTGGCTGTGCTCATACGTGGAGCCCAAACTGGCTAAAAGTAACTTTCTAGACTTTGTCCTTTCTAAAGCATTCCTGGCTGATTAAAATAATGTAAGTGATGCGACACATTTCTGTTACTATCACCATCCTACACCACCGCAGATATTAAAATTTTATTTTCTTTCCTTGTTAAAACCTGATTTTCCAACCTAAAAATACCACAAGGAGAAGGGGGAAAAAGGAAACTAATTAGTTATCTTCTATACATTAGTTTCTAAATACCAAACAAAAGAACTGACATAGGTCCAGATGATGAAGCATAAAAATGGACAGGCATTCAGTCCTAAAATAAAATGTAACAGTTTGACTGCCAAAGATCAGCAAAGACACCTTCTAAATCCTGATACTTCAGGAAAAAAGTTTATCACTGAGAATCCAAAGGATGGAGAGTTGTCTGCTTCAAACACTGCATGTATAGTGAAATATCTGTCCTGGGAGAAAAGTAACACCAGATTTAGCATCTTCATTTTTAAAACAAAAAATTATTGTTTGTAAGTTTGTTCTGTTTGTAAGGAAACAAACAGGCTTTCCCCCTACCCAGAATGAGGAGCTTCCCCGTCCCAAATTTCTAGACCACACTTCAGATAACAAAGAAAACAGGCTTCATTTAAAATTAAGATCCTTTAAATTACTTAGTGTCTTTGTTGTATCAAGTGATCATAGAATTATAGAGTGGGTTGGGTTGGGTCAAATGATCATCCAGTTCCAGCCCCTCTGACATGGGCAGAGACATCTTCCATGAGACCAGGTTGCTCAAACACTTCCAGGGATGGGCATCCACAGCTTCTCTGGACAACCTGTTCCAGTGCCTCACCACCCTCACAGTAAAGAATCTATTCCTGATATCTAATCTAAACCTATTCTCTGTTTAAAGACATTCCCCCTTGTCCTGTCACTACAGGCCCTTTTAAAAAATCCCTCTGGTAGCTCCCTTTAGGTACTGGAGTACCAAATTCAAGTACCACAAAAAAATCATCTTAAAATGTAGTATTCAAAGAATTATATACTCTTTTTACATACTGAAAATATTTTATGAATACCAGATTTCAGTTTCTTTTTTGGTTTTTTTTGAATGTGAGGTCTTTGTGAAAAGAAATGAAAATCAGGTAGTCTTGAGCCACCCAAATCAAACTTTAAAACGCAAACAGGCAACACACTGGATCAAAACTGATACTGTGTGGGATGGGCTCCCTGTGTTTCCCGCTGTCTGAACCTGGGACTTCGGATGTTAACATCCATTTAGGGTAAGGCGTGTGCAGTGTGCTGCCCAGAGCAAAAATAAAAAATACATCATTTACAAAGTCAGGAATTCCTCTGCATGGGATTGACCCACAACAGGAACCATTTAGGCCTCTGAGCCACAGCACAGACATCTGCTGTTTTAGTTGCTTAATGTTAACAGTAACAATTCTCCCCTATGCAAAGCAGCACTAGAGAGCAAACCTGCCAGGGGATTGTACAGCCATTTGCTGGGAGAAGAATTAAATATAAAGATTTAGGGTTTTTGTTCTATGACAAGATCCATAGGTGAGTACTTCAATAGTTAAAACACTTTGGTACTGTCTGCTTCTAGTCTTGCCTGTTTGGTTCCTCCCACTCATCTTCCTGCCCATGAAATTGCAGCAGTTTGCTGTAAAAATAGCCTGGTGCTGGATCTCCTTAAGGAAATGACAGCAAGACTTAACAAGGCAAAGTGGTCTATTTTCCCTAAAAATTAGGCCTCATTTTCTGGGATGATTAAGTTCAAATGAAAACCCTGTGAACAACGAAATCCCAACTCTAATTAACCAAAACCTTTATCCAGAGGTATACATCTGGCACTGAAAACTCCAGTCTCTACTGCTGCAGTATGATGAAGTTTAAATTGTTCAAAGAAAAATCTCAGAATACTGTAATATCAACAGAAAATTTTAAGTGGCACTAACAGTTCTAGGATCTGCATGACCCCAATTTTGAAACAATAGGATGGATCCTCCTTGAAACAAATGATCCACTAATAGAAATTGCCTTCCTCAAATAATTTATAGTCTAAAATAATCCAAATTAAAATGTTCATGTTCCATCTTCATTATTAGCAAAGTGTCTCTATAGGGTCAATGATTTAAAAGACTGAGGGGAGCGGAAACCATTCTTGACTGCTGAACAGAATGGATCCTTAGTGGTGTCCTGCTATGCATCTCTTAAATAGAAATTATGTTATATAAACTGGATTATAATAGATTATTTTGAGAAGAGCAAGACAAACTTGCCAAGTAAACAAGTAGCTGATCCTTTAGAGCTTCCTGCAATGATGCAGTGGATTCACTGCAGATATGACAAGGCCCTATCTATGTTCATGTATTCCAGAAAACTGTTCCTAAACCATTTTGCTATTTTTTAAGTATGTCTTTCAAAGATGTACAGCCTGCTCATAAGGCCATGAAGGCAGGAAAAAAAAGAGAGCAAAAAAGATTCCCTGAATAAAACAGAGCAGAATAAATTGCCAGCAAAGACAAAACCAGATCCAGTGCCAATGTTCAGTTTTCTCTGTGTTGAACCTCTGAAGTTTTCAGGTCAGCAACTATAATTATATCTTTCAAACTGAGACTACACATGCAACACAAACATTACATTGGAAGTGGTGCAAATCAATTTGCTGGATTTAAGTTTCCTTTACAAGACAGGTGTTCCCAAATTAGGTTAGTGCAGGTATCCCATAATAGATCCAAATTTTGCTGCATATTACATCTAACAGGACTAGAATCTAAACCAGCCCCATCCACCTGAACAGTGAAGGACTTTGGCTTATTCCTAGATCCTAACTGCAATGCATATTTCCCCTTACATGCAAAAAATCCAGGAGAAACGGTCTTGCCATAGGTTATGTTGGCCAACTTCAGTCATTGCAACACGGTGAACCCAGATGTAACATTTGTAGTAAGTTACTCCATTTATCACATCTAGTATTTCCAAGACTTTATCTTTTGAAGGTTTTATGGTATCTGTTCACATTTTGATGGACTTTCAATTTGAACATTCACCAGGTAAGCTGGAAATAACAACTGTGTGTATGGTTTAGATACTGAAAATCTACAATTACAAACGCTGAACAAGTTGACATGAGTTTGACAACTCATCAGGCTTCTTACAGCTTTACTATCATCATTCACAGGTTACAGGGGGAGATTATTTGTCTATTTTTTTTTTGGTAAGCTTTCTTCTTCAAAAGGGTGATTGCAAGTCCTTTTCCAGGTGCTATGTGCAGTTCATGTTTACGCCAGCTCTTTTCACTGAGTTCAGGTATCACTTATTTCAACTTCAGATTCATTTGTCCATCAGCTTTAACTGTCATTGTTGTTAAAGATGCTGACAAAGGGCAAGAGTTGTTAACATGTCAGTATTAAACCACTGAGAATTATTAGGAATCCAACCTATGGAACATATGAAATTGTATTTTGGTTTGATCTGTTTGAGTTTAATAATTGTTCTTGCCACTCAAATCTTCCATTGCCAGTTCCTCCATCCTTTCTGACATCCTTAATATCAATTTCTATTTCCTCTCCAGGGGTGAATAGTGTTATTTACTAGCTAGTTCTTAAGTGATTCATAAAAAATTCACTAAGTTATCCAACATAAGTTGCTCCATTGCTTTCTCTACTCACTTATCATAACTTGCTTATTTGATATTATTGCTTTTTCATTAGTTAGCAGATAACATACTTGGAAATACTGTTATTCAAAGTATGAAGCACTTGTAGAATTACTCTTCTAGTTATTATTGCTGTTTGTTCCTGCATAATGCTTTAAAATTGTGGTTTTCTTGTCAAATTATGAGTTTTATCTGGACTGTGAAAAGTTGTTCTAACAGCCTACTGTTCTTGGCAACAGCTTTCACCAGAGTATTAGCCACCCCCCCTTAAGAAATCCTGGGTCTGGGGACACCTTAATAATAAGGATCAAGACTGTGAAATTGATTTAAAACCAAAGAGAGAAGATCTCATATTCCTTCAAGTATTTGTCCTGCTGAACAGACACACTGCATTATTTTATAGGAATCAACTTTAAATATTGTAGTCCACCAGGGATAACAGAAGTCACAAATAAAGTCAGGTCATTGCATGAACAGTGAAACAGATTTCCTTAGACAGATAAAGATGACAAAAAAACCCTGGATGCAAGCAATCAAATTGCTGAAGTAGAAATCAAACCATCTTACTATGGGACCTACAGAAAGAAACCACAGGAACGGTTTGCTTCTGAGAACTCCCTTCTGAACTCAGTTTCAATAGCTCTTCAGCTATAAAAAGATTCTATCAAAAGCAAGTGGGATTAGTGGGATGATTTTATGTGATGAAAGCCAGACAGAGCTGGTTTCCTCCTGTACTGCTGACAATTAGTCCAGTTCACAAAGACTAGTTGCTACTCAACAAGACACCTAGCAGTAAAAACATTCCTCATCATGACCATCCAGATGTTAAATCTCTTATTACCCTGGACACCTGCCACCTCCTTCAGATGGAACAATTGATGCTTCAGAGATATACAGGAGAAAAAAAATGATTCAGAATCAGCTTAAAAGACTCAGATGCACAGGCAAAAGCAAATTTTGCTATCACATGAATGAGAGGGTACTTTTCACCCTGCAGGGAAGGCAGGCATAAAAAAAGCATAGAAATGTGACAGACCTAGAGGGAAAACCCTGTAAAGTCAAGTACAGTGATGCTACTGATGCCAGAGAGAGAGAGCCCTCGGGTAGGAAAGGAAGAACAATTGCCATTCTCAGAGCAGCAGCCACCAGCTCATCCCTTCAGCTGACCCCTCCAGCACCACAACAGCCCAACTTCACA